AGTTCCTTCAAGACTGGTTCCTAAACCTCACTATCCCTACTATACTTTTGGAACCCCTGCAGCACGCCCCCCCCCCCGGGATGCTTTGGGCTTTCACCCCTTGACTTGTATTAGTACTCGGACTCGGTCTTGAACTCGATCTCGGACCCGACTTCAGACTCGGTCTCGGACTCGATCTCGGACCCGATCTCGAACTTGACTTCGGACTCAACCTCAGACTCGGTCTTGAACCGATCTTGGATCTCGGACTCTGTCACAAACTCGGTCTCGAACTCGGTCTCGAGCTCGGTCTCGAGCTCGGTCTCCGAATCGGCCTCAGGCTCGATTTCGGACTCTATCTCGAACTTAGTCTCAGAGTCAGTCTTGGACTTGATATTAAACTCGGTCCCATCTGATGAACTCTTTGTCATTTTGGTCATGCTTTTGGGGATCCTTTAGCCTACAACACCTTAGGGAGTTGGTTCCTTACACATTCAACTAACAATTTCCATTAAAACAACTTACATTTTGCATAACTTCATTATTGATACAGGTGACATAGGGGAAATATACATTGAGCATGAGCCAGTGATTTATCGACCACAAAGCTGGCAATTGGAGCCTCATGTTGTTGCTACAAATCTTAGAAACATTCTCACTAATTATGTAGTAGACTTAAACAAATCCACTTGAAGTTCACGAATTATTTTATTTAGCTACAAGTATCTTTAGTGTATTGATTTGCATGCTTACTAATATGTCATATTTTGCTTGCTTTGTGTCCACAAAAGTTTTGCAACTGGATCCTACGCTATAGTGAATGGAAATTTTCTTATGGATGGATTTGGAAATGCCAAGTAGGAGTAAACAAATGGTATGTAGTCTTAAATATATTACAATTACTTTTTATTCTATTTTGTTTTTTTTTTTTTTTTTTGTGCAAAAACAAGCCTAGTTGATGATCTGAGTGATGAGTTGATTGAAGACCAGATGCCAAAGAAGGCTTTGAGTCCAAACAACAAGTTGAACATAAGCTACCAATTGATGGTGTTCTCAATCACCTATTCCTAAAATTGATCTATTTTCTAGTAAATCATTACATCTTCATTAGTTCAGCATCTCTCTCGTTGCTTCAAAGATAGTAATCAGCAACACTGTAAATTACAAAAGTGAAGTTCATGAATAAGAAAATGAATTGACTTACCAAAGAATCAACAATTGCAAACAAAGCTTGAGATATTTAATCCACACTCTTCACCATTTGGCTATCCATAATTAGAGTATGCTTCATGAATTCTTCTTTCTTTAGATTTTGACAACAAATTTCCTTCTAGCTTTCTTCCATTGTATTAATAAGGCTCACATTATTGTCATGTAGTGCTCTTGCAAGTTGTTCTACAAGTTGTGTGCAAGACTTCTTCCTCAACCAGTCTAAACTATGTTTTTCAGGATTGTTGTTATTTCCTGTTATTGCCAAAAATGATTATGAACAAAAACTACAAAACATACCTTCAAGCTTTAGTTCTCCACATGGAGGTGATGATGATCGTTGTTGTGAAGCTCTTGGTGTCAATAATGGTGATCACTAAAATGTAACTGGTGAAGACATTAATTCTTAAATTTGTCCTTGTGAATTCACAATTTGACGGTCTTGAAGCCCCTTGTCCATCATTGTGTAGAGTTGATTATAAAATTTTGGTTTCACAACATTGCTTCATTATCATGTTCTAGTAACTGCTTCTGCTAGTAGGAACATGATATTTACATAACTTGATTTTGTTGAACTCTTTATAGATATACTCCCACCGAAATTGGCATTGCCCAGGCAAATGGTTGACATAATGTGTCAAATAGTAATTGCAAACTTAGTGAACGACTGGAAGTCTGAAAAATCCAAAACTTACTCAAAGACTTGTTGCTAACAAACAACTACAATCTTTTTTTGTGCCTCTCCTAAATGCTACTTCATTGTTATAAGAAGAAATCATGCTTCTTTGTTTCATTCAGAATCAATAATTCATTCAAAGACCAATGTCCTTGATTTCTAACTGGTTTTGGAGGCTTCAATGGAGTAGGAGCAATAAAATTCCCCTTGCTGAATTAAGAACTATAATATAGGACCTCTTGTTGATATTGAGTGGAAAACATAATCTCCAAGTCATTTAGCTGCTACTCTCCCATTCCGCTCAACCCTAAAACCAAAAATTGACATGTCAACAATAGTTGCAGGAGGAAATAATTACCATATTAACATTTTAACCTACTATTGCAGGTTTGATAGTGGTCAACCAGCTGGGCTTTTTTTAAAAATCATTCAAATTGATTTCATTGTCACAAGGCCACTGTCAAAAAAATGACAATGACGGTGACATGTACTAGGGCAACTTCACTTCAAATTGCTGATATGGCTATCAACATTTGACTGTAATGGTCACATGTGCAGCATTGGAAAGTTTATTCTAACCATATGGTTAGGGCATCTTGGTGGTGAAGGTAGTGGGAGTACCCACAAAATTTATATTAGGTTATAATGTTTTAAAATGTTATCTTGAAATCTCTAATTGTGAGGAAACAAAAATGATTAATCCTTTTGCTTAATAACCAAAAGTATTACAGAGTGAGGAAGTTCTAAAGGTCATTAAAACTTAGTAGACCTTTAAATCCCATCCCAATAGCAATGTTGGTGAGCACTACCATGAATTGAGAGGGACTTGGTGCAGATTAAAGGAAGAAAACTAAAGGAATGTGTCTCCTTAAACTTTAAAGCATTTTAAAGATGCTAAAAAGTGGTTATAGGGTTAGAGGAAGGATTATTATACACTAGTTTTATATTATAATCCTTTAATATCTCTAATTCATGGGTTATGAACATTGGAGTAGAGTGGCTTAGGGTAGCTAGAAGGCTACAAAAGAATGTTATATAGCAATGGCTCTAGCATCATGTGAAACATTGACTTAAGTAGTATAAGGGAGATCACTATGTTTTAGTCAATCAAATACCTACTTAAATAGTAATTTGCAAAGAAAAATTACTCATTCAAATTATGGCATAAGTATCAAGAATTAGATGGTAAAAGATACTAGGATAATGAAAGTAAAAATTCCTTTTTATATTTAAAATAAATATTAATAAAAATGATAACATTCAGATATGTTGAATAAAGAAATTATGTTACACATAAGTAATGACTATGTAAAATCCACCAAATAACATTAGGATATGCTGCTAGGTAAATTTTTAAATTACAATCATTTTGAATAGTTAAGTATGAAGATATTATACAATTAGGTTGATTAGAACAGTATTTATTGGTTGTCCATAATACTCTTTTATTACTATATAAGACAAGGTTACCATCATTTTGGAGTTTTAGTACACAAATAGTATCATGGTTTATAAAAAATTTTGTTCCCCATATCTTTACGGTTTTATAGAAAATAATAACTTGACAATTTGATGTTACCATTAAAATAACTTTACCATTTGGAGAAAATAAATATTAATTTTGTTGTAGTTGTTGTGGATTATATAATGTATGTTGTCTAAGAAAGCATACAGGATTAGAAGTTTCACTAAAGTTAAATTGTAACCTATTATGAAATACCCACTCTTGAATTAATTTATATTGCATAAAATATCCTTTATTTTCATTTTCAAAAAAGTCTGGACAATTAAGTTGTATATAATTAATATTTGCATAAAAAATCCTTTCAAAAGCAGCTATCAAAATTTTACCTGTAATTGTTTCTTCATTTTCACATTCATACTTTATTTTGAATCTGAAATCAAGAATTTCTACTGAAGTACTAATAAGCTCACCATCTGAATAATCCATAGGATATATTTTATTATAATCTAATTTAGATAATAGCTTTTGAAATATTGTACTAATTTTTACAATGTCCCGAGGATTTAAAATTCTAAATCTCCCAAACTTTGGTTTATAAATTGGTGCTATAACATATCTTGGAAAAAGAAAAACTATAATAAAAATGAAATTTAATTTTTGTATCATTGTTTAGTGATTTATAGACTTCAAAATGACTTTAATTGAAACTCAGATAGTTTTAATATTACCACAAATATTCTACAATTGTTCTTTTTTATGTGAAAGATGAAAGTGAATACGGGAATAATATATAGCATTTACAAAAATTTCTAGTTTATATAGTTATGTTGGAAGAATCCCATAACTTACACCCACTTATTGTTGTGAATGTTTGCTTCTATTCCACATCCATTATTTTTAATGAGAAATAAAAACTAATTGATTCAAGATGTAATTTTATATTTGGGGTGGAAAACAAAGAACATTTGAAGTGGTTATTTGGCTTCTTCCCCGGCATTCTTGTAGCATATAAAAAGACAAAAAGAGAAAAATTAGTGATGGACACGTGGATATGTTTTCCCTTTGTAAATATTTTAAATAAACAACTTAGAGTAATTTAGTTTTACTTTTTTAGCTTACTGTAATAATAATTTTGAAATTAAGAATGGAGAAATTTTTTGCTAGAATTCACAGCATATTAGAATAAACTCTTTAAGATCTATTTAGTAAAATTTTAGCATTTCCCAATTTACCTTTACAATTTCAATAATTCCCAATCTACCTCTTCTTTTTAAGGACATCACACATTGGTGACTTATTCTAAAACCAGGGGAAACCCAGAGTTCCTTTAAAGAAAATTGTCCAAATATTTTCTCCATAGCCATTGTGGCTATGGAGTCATTCTCTCAGAGCTGGAAAATATAAAGGCTAAGTTATGGCAATAGAAAATTTGCTATCTGCCCATGTTGATTCTCTTTCGAAATGTCTACACAAGATCTTTCAAATGCAAGTCTGTATTGTGAGGCCAAATGCATCTAAGGCCTCATTGCATCCTGGTTCTAGGCAGATTGGAAATTGTAGGAATATAAAAAAAAATTCTTAACACTAATTTATGCTTCTTTTCTTTTGCCTGGCATATTCTTAAAAAGATATTTGTTCATAGGGTTTAGGGTTTAGGACAGGAATATGCTTCTTTATACCTTTCTGCGGAGAGGGCTACATTCTAGCAGGGAGAGCGCGGACTGATACATTCGAGCTATGAGCACCAAGGGTTAGGTTTTTATGTCTTTGCGGCAGCGCGAGCTATGGCTGCTGCTGCTTGATCGAGGAGGAGGACGAGCGATTGTCCGCCACTACACCGCCAGGAGCTTCCCCAGCGGTAAGCCAGAGCGCGAGCACCTCACGCCCGATTTCGTGCGTCGCGCTGATCTGGTGACCTCGATTGTGGAGACGATCAAGGACGTGAGGCTCGACGGCAGCTCCTGGTCTGTCCATAATATCCGCAATGTGCTCGGCCCCGTCCACGGCCAGGTGCTTGGATCCCACGTCGCAGCGGTGCTGCGATCGCTCAAGGTCACTGGGACGGCTATCAGTTTCTTCCGATGGGCTGGAGAACAGGCCGGATTCCAGCACGATGTCTTCACTTACAATTGCCTCATGAATCTCCTGGTGGCCGAGAAGAACTACTCGCAGTGCTACGCGATCCACGAGGAGATGCTCAAGGCCGGGATCGCGCCCAACACTTTCTCCTTCAACATCTTGATCCGGAGCTTCGCCAGGACGCGCCGGGCCGACGACGCTGTGACGTGCTTCGAGATCATGAAGAGGAAGAGGTGTAAGCCCGACTTGCATACGTTTCTGATCCTTGTGGATTGCCTGTGCAAGGCTGGGATGGACGAGAAGGCTTTCGAGGTTTTTCACGAGATGATGGCAATGGGATTTGTTCCTCCGGATCGGGCACTTCACACCGCGATGGTGAGAACGCTGCTCAAAGCGAAAAGAGTGAAGGAAGCTCGAGAGGTTTTCGGACAGATGGAGAAATGTGGCTTCCCTCCCGACGCTATTGCTTACAACACAATGATCGACGGGCTCGCCAAAGCTGGCCATGCACAAGAAGCTCTCAAGGTTCTCGACAATATGCTCGCGAAAGCTTGCGTTCCAACAGAAGTCACGTATGGGATTCTAGTGAACAGTCTTTGCAAGGCAGGAACCTTGGAACGGGCCGAGGAGCTGTTCCGAGTGATGGCAGCTAGTGGTTTTCGGCCGAATTCAGTCATCTACACGTCTCTCATCCACGGATTCGCAAAGTCGGGAAGAATGAAAGAGGCTTGCTCTCTCTTTGACGAAATGGTGGAGGCCGGGTACCGTCCAGACGTGATCACCCACACGGTTATGATAGACGGGCTGTGCAAGTCGGGAAACTTTGAGCAAGCTGCAAAGAGCTTTGAGGAGATGATGCGAGGCGGGTGCAAGCCAAACGTGGTGACTTACACGACGATCATCCAGGGCCTCAGCAAGATCGGGAGAGTGGCCAATGCTTTCAGGATTATGAAAGGGATGATAGCTCATGGATGTTTTCCAGATTCTGTGACGTACATTTGCCTTCTCGATGGCTTCTGCAAGCTCGGGAGGCTCGACGAGGCTGCCCAGCTCTTGGACGAGCTTGACAAATGCTCCAGCTCTCCAAACTTACAGCTCTACTCGTCACTTGTAAATGGACTGTGCGATGGTGGCAGCGTTGAGAAGACACTCGACGATCTATTCGAGCAGAGCAAAGCCGCAGCAGAAACCTTGGATCCCGGCCTGTGCTGCAGCATCATCGTCGGGTTGTGTAAGACCGGCCGGCTCGACGAAGCTTGCAGGATTTTCCAGAGAATGGTGTCGGAAGGATGCAAGCCCGACGCAACGACTTACAACATCCTGATCAACGGGCTGTGCAGGAGCCGAGAGAACCGAGTGGAGCGGGCATTCGCTTTGCTCCACGACCTCGAGAAGGTTGGCTACTTGCCAGACGCCGTGACTTACACCCCGCTTTGCATCGGCCTGTGCAAGATTGGCGAAGTTGACAGAGCTGTGAAGATGCTCGAGGAGGCGTCTAGCCGGGGTTGGAACGCCGACGTAGTGGCTTACACTGCTCTATGCACCGGCTTGTGCTATCAAGGCCAAGTCGATCGAGCAGTGAGCTTGTTCCAAGAGATGGTCCGCCAGGGTGGTGCTCCGGACGCTGCTGCCTATTGCTGCATCATCAACGGGCTGATCAAGGTGAAGAAACTGGAAGACGCTTGCAAGTTCTTCGACGAGATGATCGGCAAAGGCCAGAAGCCGACGGTTGCTACGTACACGGCACTCGTCCAGGCGCTGTGCCATGCCGGGAACGTCGACGAGGCGTTCCACAGGTTCGAGAGCATGCTTGCTCGGGGCGAGCTTGTTGGAAGCGTCATGATCTACGACGCTCTCATCCACGGCTTTTGCAAGGCGTTGAAAGTGGACGCGGCGCTTAAGCTGTTCGAGGACATGATCTCCAGAGGCAACGTTCCCACTGCCGTCACATCCGCTTCGCTGTTTGATGGCCTGGTGAGGTCCGGGAAGACTGAGAAGGCCCAGGAGCTTTTACAGGAGATGGCTGCTGGCGGCTCTCCTCCTCATGCTGCTACTTTCACAGCGATCTTGGACGGACTTCGCAAGTCGGACGAGTCTGGCAAGCTGCTAAAGTTGGTCCAGGAAGATGGAAGCAGCAGCAGCAAGCAAGAAGCTGGAAGCGCTGTTGAAAGTCCAGGCCCGAGGAATGGTGACAGTCCAGAGAGGGAGGAACAGGATGAACGAGCTGGTAGTCATGATGGAAGTCTCATGCCGGATCAAAGCTCTACAAGAGACTGTGACGACCTGGACGGCGACTTGAGAAAGGAACAGGACGAGCAAGCTGTGGGCGATGATGAAAAGCTCTTACAGAATGAAAGCTCTGGCTTTCATGATGGGGACGACGAAAGCCATCAAAGTTTTGGAAGAAATGGTGGCGAATCTCCTGGAAAAGAGAGTGAAAAAGCTGTCGAAAGCCTCTCGGTGGATCGAAGTTTTATGCCTGATACAGAGGGGGATCAAAGCGAGAACTCTCAAGCTCCATGCCCCGAGACAAAGGATGGAGAGGAGGAACTCTTACGTTCTACTGATGACGATGAAAAACACACAGGCTCTTCACTCCACTCTAAGTTGTCAAGGCCGAAACGTCGGTGGCTTCCTTTTGGTGTATGAGAGATCTTGGAAACCATCAACTCGGATCCTGATAGCTCCATCATCTCAAACCTGTGAGAGCTCGTTCGATTGCTCTTTCGCTCGCTCGCTCGGCCCTTGAAACGATTGCTCGTCAAACTTTGTACATCTCCTCGATGCTCCTCTTCATCTTCTTGGTGCCCCGAGGCTTCTCGATCGGCTTGTTCATCCCGGCCATCTTGTTGTTGTACTGCGCACGAAACTTGTCATTGGAGCTCCACCTGAAAGGCCGGAAAAACTTCGATTAGAACGAATCAAAGGCGAGGGAAGAACAAACTCACGGCGTGTCCCATCGCGTCGTGTCCTCGTTCACGAGATCCGTCCACTTCACTCGCCCACTGCGGCCAAAGTTCTTGACTTGCATCACTTTCGGGAGTATGCTCTTGTTGAGCTTGTCCTCTCCAGTCGGCTCCGAGTAGTCCCGCTTGTAAATGTCGTTCCCTCCAGGGACAGCCGGATCCTTGTCGTCGGACATGAAGAACACTCCCTTGTGATAGTACTTTTGCATGTACTTCCACTTCTTCTTCGGAGCCGGGGCCTCCTTCGGGTTCTTCCGATCGTACTCCTTGCGTTCTTCCTCGCTCATCTTCCTCAGCCTCTCGATCTCCTCCTTCTCCTTGTTGGCGTTCTCCTTCTCGTCCCTCTCTCGCTTTATCCGCGCGATCTCTCTCGCCTTCCAGGCCTCGTACTCTTCTTGCCCGTTGGTCTCGTCGTCGGTGTTAACTTCGTCACCATTCGTGTCCGTCACCTTGTTCTTCTCGCGCTCTTCCTCCTTCCGGATCTCTTCCACCAGGAGGTGCTTGGACTCGATCTTCCGCAGCTCCAGCTTCTTCTTCCAATCCTCCATCATCGCAATCTCCTCCGCCTCGAGCCGCTCGCGTTCCGCGATAGTCTCCCGGTCGGACTTCCTCACGAAAGTTGGCTTCATCATCGGCATCCCTCCCAGCTCGTCCTCCGAGTCGGTCTCTTCCTCCTCCTCGTCTTCCTCGTCTTCTTCCTCTTCGCCATCCTCTTCATCCTCCTCCGTGGCGGCAGCGGCGGCCTCCTCCTCCTCCTTTTGCTTCTGTAGAATCCTTTCCCTGTTCTTCTTCCGCCGCTCCTCCACCGCCTCCTCGTCCTCCACCTCCTCCGCTCCAGCATCTCTAGCGCCCGACTTCTCTTCCTGGCGGGTGGACACGATCTCCGCCTGCCGGATCTCTCTGTGCCTCGCCACCGCCTCATCGCGGTTCCTCCGGCTCTCGGCCAGCCGCCGGAGCCGAGGATCATCCTCCGCCCTCGCAGCGGGTCTAGCGGCAGCAACCTCCTTCTCGTCCACCGGAGCTTTCGATTTCTCTGGCTCCGGCTTCTTCTTCTTCTTCTCGAAATTCTCCTCCTCTTCTTCCTCCTCCTCCTCCTCGGCCGCCCATTCTGGCTTCTTGCCCGGCCAGTAGCGCTGGACCTTGGTCTGGCCGATCTTCCCTCGCAGCTTTTCCCTCACGGCTATGGCGACGTCTGTCACTCCCGCCGAGACTGACATCGTTCTTGCTCGATCGAAATCCCTCCCACTGTGCTAAGATCTAGGCGAGTACCTGGTTCGTGTAGCCCATTCCAAGCGCCAGGAACCCTAACCCTAATTGTAAAACCTTTCCTCTTTACTCTTTCTTCGTCATGGCGTCTGGCAGCAAGCTCAAGGCGCTCATCGATGCTGCTGACGATCTTCTCGCCGATCCCGCGGCAGCGTCCTCGGATCTACTCCGCGAATCGATCAATCAGGTTCGTATGTGTTTTTGCGTGATCTAGAAAGAGATTAGAGCGTTTTTGTTCGTGTAGCTCAAGAAGAATGTGGAGAAACTGGATGCTTTGTCGCAGAGAGATCCAGATCTACCCGCTCGACAGAAAATTCAGGTGTGAAATTCTTTTTTTTTGGCGTTTATTGTCGCGTGATTCTTTCTTTGGTTAGAACATGAGTGCCGAGGTCGTGGGAAGTAATCCTTACAGCAGGTTGATGGCTCTCAAACGCATGGGAATAGTGAATAACTATGAGAAAATTCGGGATTTTTCAGTAGCGATTGTGGTGAGCATTGTCTTTCCTTGTTGTTGAGCTTGTCAAACTCTTCTCTTTTTTTTTCTCAGGGTGTTGGAGGAGTTGGAAGTGTTGCAGCGGAGATGCTCACTAGATGTGGAATAGGCCGCCTCCTTCTCTATGACTACGACACTGTGGAACTCGCCAACATGAATCGTCTTTTCTTCCGTCCCGAGCAAGTACTGTCGTTTTGAGTGATCTTCTGAGTTCCTTTTCTGTGTTCTTCGTTTTAGGCAGGCCTATCGAAAACGGATGCTGCCGTGCAAACCTTGACCAGCATCAATCCGGATGTTGTTTTGGAGGTAAAGCTTTTCTGGTAATGACCAAATGACCAAAGCTCTCCAGCCTGCTGCAGGGGTATAAGCTCAACATTACGACAGTGGAAGGATTCGGGAGCTTTATGGAGAGTCTTGCACGACCTTTCAAGGAGAAATCGAGTGCTTCTCCGAGTGGAGTTGATCTCGTTCTTAGTTGTGTGGACAACTACGAAGCACGTATGGTAGTAAATCAGGTAAAGCTTTTTCTTGGTTTTGTGTTGAAGCTTTTCTCATGTTTCCTTGTGCTAGGCCTGTAACGAGCTTGGGCAAACTTGGATAGAGTCAGGTAAAGCTAATACATCTTTTCAAGGTGGAGCCACATAATTTTTGGAACAGGAGTTTCTGAGGATGCTGTCTCTGGTCATATACAGCTTTTGATTCCTGGCGAAACAGCCTGTTTTGCTTGTGCACCCCCGCTGGTAAGACTTTCCAGATTTTCTATTCCTTGCATTCATGCGTGGCTTCAGGTGGTCGCATCTGGAATTGATGAGCGAACGCTTAAACGTGAGGGAGTCTGTGCTGCTTCTTTGCCAACCACGATGGTGTTATTGCGGTTACGGTTTCATTCGTCTCCGTCTTGACCCTTTGGAATGTTTTGCAGGGAATTGTTGCGGGTCTACTGGTCCAAAGTACGCTCAAATATCTGTTGGAGTTTGGACAAGTGTCGAGATACCTGGTAAGTGGATCATTTACTTCTCTTCGCTATCCAGTTCTTAAAGAGCTGCGTATATCAGGGCTATAGCGCACTCAAGGATTTCTTTCCAACGATGGAAATGAAGCCCAATACCCAGTGCACAAATGCTGCCTGTGTGGAGCGTCAGGTAGGCATTAATTACGAGGAAAGCAAAGTCGACCGATCGAGAGATGTGTTGAATTTCTGTACAGCATGAATACGTGAAAAAGAAGCCCGAGAGAGACGCTCTTGCGAGAGCCAAAGCCGAGGCGGATCGAGCAGTACAGGATGTTGCACCCCTTCACGAGGACAACGAGTGGAACATCACGTAAGTTTTCTTCTTCTCGTTTCTTCTTCGTTGTTTGGTTTTGCGCTCTCGGGCTTACTCCTCCTGTTTGGTTTCATCGCAGCGTAATGGACGACGACGACGACAAAGACGTGTTTTTGGATGCTCAAACGACGCCGAATTCGCGTAAGTTCTTCGTTTTCTCATTCCTTCTCTCCAGAGATCTTGCGAGGGAAATCTCATACGTTGGCGATGTGTGCAGAGATTCTTCCCGAGGGATTTCTGCGAGAGCTCCCAGACGCGGACGATGCGTTTCGCAAACTTGATGAGGCATTTGTTGGTGGAGCCGCAGCGCAAGATAACGATCTAGAAGAGTTAGAGCGGCAGCTCCAGGCTCTAAACTCGGATTAGCTTTAGCTTAAATGCGATGTCTTTGGCACTAACCAAACCCCCCCAACGTTCCAAAATTTGAAAGGCGACAGGAGTAAAATTTGAAAATTTAACCCTGTGTCGCCGGTAGCACTTCCCGGCACGCCGGCAAAGCGGTCACGCGTGCGTTTGGGCTTTCCGGCCATTAATCCCGGCCGGCAGGTAACCGTTGCCAAAATTGCCACTGCCCGTCAAAGGCCTTTGGAAAGCCGCCCGTCGCTGCCCGTCACCGCCCTTCCCATCGAGCAAATACCGTTCTGTGGGCACTCGGATCCACCGTCCGTCCCCCAATCTTTCGAATCTCCACCGTTAGATCCGCCAGGTATGGACGCGAGCTAAGGAGCTAGGGTTTCGTTTGGTAGCGAGCATGGGGCGCCATGGAGTTTCTAGGGTTTGTAGCGCCTGCTGGGAGCTGAGATTGCGGCAGGCGCCTTGGCGCGGGTGTCCCGGGGCCTTGGATTTCGATTTCCAGCATAGATCTTTGCAGCTTACTTGAGCCGGGGCATAGATTTTCAACAGGTATGGTAGAAATCGCAATTAGGAGCAGTAGCAGATAGATGGCATCGAGCAAGGTCAAAGGCAGCAACAGCACGACTGATGATCCGCCCCACTCCTCCATTTGTTCCTCTGGAGCGGACACGGACGACGATGCGACGAATCAATTGCCTCCGGTGCAGGGGTATGGCTTGGATTTCTCGTGAATTGGCTTGATTTTGGGATTCTGTCCAGGCGAATTGGCGGGCCAACGAGGAGATCTTCCAAAGGAGGCTGGACCGCTGACGAGGTGATTGAATTATCCATTAGTACCGTTTGGTTCTTCCAGGACTTTTGTTTTTTAATCTAATTTTATTTCTTCGTCCAGGATGATGTTCTGAGACGAGCTGTGCAATGTTTCAAGTCGAAGAATTGGAAAAAGATTGGTATGTTGTGTCGATCTGATGCTTTCAGTTCTGTGCTCAACGACGTCTTTGGTTTGTTTCCAGCCGCGTTTTTCAAAAATCGTACCGATGTGCAGTGCTTGCATCGGTGGCAAAAGGTTTTAAATCCCGACCTTGTGAAGGGTCCGTGGACGAAAGAGGTGAGAAGAACAACAACTAGTTGATACTAGCCGTGAAGTTTGCTCATTTTTGGTTCTTTGTAGGAGGATGATAGGATAATTGAGCTGGTGAACAAGTATGGTGCTAAGAAATGGTCAGTCATTGCGCAAAACTTGCCTGGACGGATCGGAAAGCAGTGTCGAGAGAGATGGCACAACCATCTTAATCCTAATATCAAAAGGGATGCTTGGACTCAACAGGAAGATCTTGCTCTAATTTATGCACACCAACGCTACGGAAACAAATGGGCCGAGATAGCGAAGTTTTTACCCGGAAGGTAGGTGCTCCTGCTTCTGTTGAATAATCGGCCTGACTTCCGCATTTACAGGACGGACAATTCCATCAAGAATCACTGGAACAGTACCATGAAGAAGAAGGTTGATCCAGCACTTGCAAATGACCCGATTTCGAAAGCCCTCGCAGACTATCAACTTCAAATGGAGGCTAAGCAGGCACAAGCGGTCCCAAGGCCTCCGCATCCCAAAATTCCTCTGGCTCCCGGCTTTGATCCATCGCTTCGACAGAAAAGGATTGCGTCTACGGAACCCGGACTGATTTCTCAGCCACCTTCGGGATTGTATCCTGCGTATTATTTGTCGGGAGAGTGCTCCATGGACGCAGCCAGTCAGCCTACAACGGAAGATCTAGCTCAGTCCAACTCGCTCGACGTTTCGACTGCGACAGAACCATCTGCAGCGGCATATGGACAGGATCAGAATATGGTTGAGCACTTTGAACCGGTTTTCTCATCGCTGAACGAGATGAAGCTCGAAGAAAGTGCCGGGGAAGGGACTACCAAAGCAGATGCCTCACAAGAAATTACCGAGGAACAGGATCTTCTTTTCTACGAACCGCCTCGCCTGGCCAGCTCGGACTTGCCTTTTATGAACTATGACCTCAGCAGTGCGCATGAAGAGTACAGTCCTCTCGGGGTGAGACAGATGATAATGCCGTTCGTGAATTGTACAACACCGTTCACGTACTCTCCATCCAGCTTCACCAGTCCCCAAGAAAAGCTGAGGTCTGCTGCAAAGAGTTTTGGAGGAACGCCTTCTATATTGCGAAAGAGACCGAGGCAGCTCTTGAGTCCTTCGCAGGCTGGTGGTGGTGACGGAGCCAAGTTTGCAGAGCCAAGGCTGACGGATAATGCTGGGAATGCGGCCAGCAAAGCGGAAGGCAGCGCGGTTTTACTGTCTCCTCCTTACAACGTTTCTTCAAAGTTGTCTTCAATATCAGAGGCAAATGATATTGGAGTGGACGAATTTCGAAGACTCAGGCAGCACTTCCAGGCATGCAGCGCTGATATCAACGCAGAGTGCAGTAAAGGCGACTCCGAGGAATCTGCTCGTGGAGAAGGAGAGGTTAAGTCGAAGAGGGGAAGACTTGGCGATGGTGGTGATGCCTCAAGCGAGAAGCAACAAATCCAGGTATTCTACTCTCTTCTTACTGCCCTGTTTGTATTGTTTTTATGACATTTTGTCGGCAGCAAACATCGTCCTCTGATCGGCCTCTTCTGTTGGATCCTGGAGAATCACCGCCACCCCATAAAGCGAAGGGAAAAGCAAAGCTGACGATCAAAACTCCTAGCCGGCTTGGCGTCTTGGGTCAGAGCACACTGAACTCCGCTAATAAATGGCAAGTCATGTTTCTTTCTTTCTTTCTTTGCTTGGTACAGTTTTAACCGGAATGCGTGCAGTGATCGTTTCTTCAGCGGTTTGTCACCACTTTCGAAGTCTCCGTGGAGGCTTGATTCGTTCCTCTCCTTGGGAAAGGATGGCTCGCCTTCGCTTCTTCAGGTGTGCAAAGATTTTCTTGCAAGGATTTAGAGAGTCTCGCTAACGGTCTTTCTAGCAGGGGATGAATTTGCCAATGGATGGTGGAGGAGACGACGCGCTGGGCATTATGATGCACCTGAGCGAGCATGCTGCCACAGCGTACTCGGACGCTGAGGAGGTGCTGGCCAAGGTACCGTCCTCTGAAAGCGCGGTCACCCCCATTCCACTTCGTAAGATGCGAATGGATGAAAACATTTTCTCTCACGACTCCAAGGAGAACATGACAGAGTCGGATGACAACGCAGGGGGCACCTCGGGATCGTTACTAAGTTGGCTCCTCGTAAGTTTTGCTCGTCCTTCTCTCTACATCTCTTTCCCAACTTGGCTTAAGTAGTAATCTGCCTTGCAGCCTTTCCAAGCGGAGATTTGCTCGCCAAACATGGACCTGACGAACTTGCTCCGCGGACCACTGGCAGCCGACGACACGGGCCAAGCTGCTGCGGCGGGGCTGCTGGATCCATTCAGTCCGTCCATGTATCTCTTGAAAGAGTACCGGTAATTTATCATCATATACCTCTAAATCTCTCAGCTTCCAGGTTCTCTGTTTCCTCTCGAGGAAAGGTATGTACCCATTTTTGTGTAAATGTAGCAGCGCTCATACTGGTTTTTAAGCGTGACTTTCTATCTGTATTTACTCACTCTCTCTTTTCTCGCTAATGACACACGGTTTGTTACCGCGAGCAGAGCCCCGCGGTGTCAATCGACCGGAGCCTTCTAATCTCCTCGTCGAGGCCCCGGATTATCCTGTCGTGGACGGTGTAGACTCCCGTTTGCAGTAAGTCGGCCTTCTGCTTGGTGAGCCTCACTATCTCAGACCTCTGGAATGCAGTTATCTGTGATAGGAAGGGCTCGCTGTCGTCAAACGAAGGAGCAACTATGTGCTCCATCGCTGCTAGTCTCTCGAAAAGCTCTCCTTTCGGTGGTGGTGGTGGCGGCGGCGGCGGCGGCGGCAGTGGAGGCTTTTGAGGCACTGGATTGCGTTGCTCGGGCTCGGCAACTGCTGGATGACTGGTTGCCGGGATCACAGCTTCCTTGTGCTCCTTGGTCTCGTGCTTGCTTTCGTCAGGTTCGCTCTCTTTGGCATCGGCAGTGGCCTCTTTGCTCAATGCCTCGGTATTTACTTGGCGTCGTGATACAGCAGCGGTGGCAGCAGCAGCGGCGGCAGCTGCGGCGGCCGTGAGAGCCGTTTGCTCCTGTTGCTGGAGGCGCTCCACTTGTTCTTTCAGCTGCTTGAGCTCGAGCTTGTCTTGGCTAGCTGCGCGAAGATGTTCCTGGAGCATTGCCGTGAGAGCCGTCGTGTCCCGACCGCCGCTGCTAGGCCGCGGGGGCGGTGGCTCTTGCGAGCGCTTGCGCATGTTTGCGAGTTCTTTGGCCAGCCGTATCACCTGTGAGCAAATCCCTCCCTCTATTGAGTCAAAAGGAAAGAGAAAAGGTGGTGGAACTTTCTTGATACCTGTGCTTTGTACTCGTCTCGGGTCTTTTCGGCTGCGTCAGCTTTCTTTTCCAGCTCGTGGCATTGGTGCTTGAGGACTAGGATCTGGGCTGCGAGGTCGGCCTCGGAGGATAGCCTCTGTGCGGATTTGTAGGCCGCAAACTCCTTCTCCACCGCGGCCAGCGTCGCGTTTGTGCTTGCCAGGCGCTGCTCCACGGCAGCGTATTGCTGCTGGAGCATCACAAACTTGCCGTGCTCCATCTCGATTCGTTGCTGGTAGTCGGCTTGCATTCTCTTGGCAACATTCTGAAACGCACAAGCAAAAGATTTGAGCATTGGCAAAAGTGAAAAGAAAGAAAGCGAGAAAACCTCGGCATCTGCTACTCGCTGTGCGCATTCTCGTTTCAAGGCTTCCTTTCTCAAAGCCGCTTCTTCTTCGGCATGAACCAGCGTTCTATCTCGTTTCTCCACAGCTAGTAGCTTCGTCCTGGAACAAAAGAAGAAGAATGACTCTCAGGGCGCTACGAAGGAAAGCTCGTCTCATAGTTCTTTTGTCTTCCTTACCTTAGCTTTGCTTCCAGATTAGCGAGCTCAAGTCTAACCTTGTCCAAGGCAGCAGCTTGATCCTTTTGTTTCCTCTTGGACTCCTCTTCCAGGGCCTTGATCGTCGCGACTTCCTTCTCCTTGAGCTCTGCGCGCCACCTCGCTTCTTCCGACCGCCGCCACATCTCAAACTCCCATGCCAGCTCGTACTCGACGTGCTCCCGGAGATCATCGCTCTTCTCGTCTTTGGCAGCACAGTGCACCACGTCTTTGCTAACCGGTTGGAACGAAACCGATGCCTTCTCGTGCTGCACGGCAGGAGCAGTCGAAGCAGCAGCAGTGGCCGTGGTCTTTTCTTTCTCGGCGTTCCTCTGCCCATTCTTTTTGGAAGCTCCTTCGGCCGCCGAAGTATCGGTTTGCACAGCCACGGCCTTCGATCCGAGGTACTGGCTGATGTTGTTCTTGAGAAGAAGGAACGACTCTTCCAGCCCCGGACACGGATGATTCAGTGATGGCTCCTTGCCTTCCACGCGCTTGTGCTGTGATCCACTGACGGGTCCTAGTTCCTCGGCCGCGAGCACGATCCTGATGGAACCAGTCGTGACCTGTCTTACAATTAGCGCGATCGGAAAAACTGGATGCAACCCAAGTTACTTGTTTCTCGTTCCTCACAGTCACGTAGCCATCGAGTCGTGGGTCGTGCATCAACGGAGCCATGGAGATTCGAGCAATTCCTATCACGCTGTCCGCTGCATACCTGTGGAAGAACAAAGAGCTTGAAACCAAAAAGGAATTTGTTTTCTTGGTACCTATCGCGATGATAGACTTCGGCTAGAAGATGAGGATCTTGTGCCAGTGTCGCAGCCAAGCCAAGCACAGAAACCGGCAGCTCCAGAGCAACGTAGCTGAAAACCAGTTTGGCAGCACCAGATTATCATCTGTAGAGAAGTGTATCATTATAAAAGCTCGCAATCCTTCTAACACTCAAACAAACAACAAAGAGCTAAAGGAAAAGCGTTTCTCTCTTCTTTTTTTTTCTCTCGGGGAAGAGATCTCTCTTCTTTTCTTCCTACGAGGAAGAGGAGACTCACCCATTTGGAATGGTGACTTCGCTGCATCGCTCCACGAGAACAGGAGGATGGCTCCTCAGCGGCGCCGTAAGCTTGGCCGCATTGCTCCCCGGAGTGGCCGACTCGAGGGCCAGCTTGACGATCTCCGGCGGTAGCACCACCTTGACGAACGCATTCACGGCGCGCATTGGCAGGCGCACGCCCGCCTTGAAGCTCCGCACATCCACGCTCACGCGGAAGAGCCGCAAGGCGGCATCGCCAGCTCCACCCCCGCCTTCCATGGACCAAGAACCCTAAATTTCCAACGAACTAAAGAATTTTTCTTTTTTTTAGGGCAAAGCTTCGCATTTGAAATTTAGGGCAGGACCATACAAATTCCCATTACCAAAGGTTCATAATCGTGTGATCAGTGGCTAGGGTTATGGGTGGCGGCTTCACTTGCGTTGTGGGCGGCTTGCCCTGGTATGCCGATCAACGAGACCTGGATGGATTCATCCGGTTTGGAGATATCACCAGCGCCAAGGTAATAAAGATTCAATGCCTTTTTGTTTTGAAATTCTCTTCTTTTCTCAATTAATTAGATCATGCGTGACGAGAAGAACTTCCCAATGGGCTATGGCCTCGTCACCTTTAGCAGCGAGAGAGGCATGCGCAAGGCCATTGAGAAGATGAACGGCAAGCCCTTGCCGGACACGGGCTACGAGGTCCACCTGCTAGACGTGTTTGAAGCAACACCGGGGAGGGACTCTTGGAGCTGGGACACGCGAGAGTGCGAGAGGTGTGGACTGCCCGGCCACTGCAAAAAGGATTGCAACTCCATTCCCCCTACCGATCCAAAGCATGTCTTTGCGGGAGAGCTCAAGCCCCACCCATTCAGACCTGAGGTGCGTTAAAGCTTGCAATTTCTCCGTGAAAGTTTGTCATCTCTCCTCCTTGTGTGTGTGTGCGAGGTTATGCGGTACACGCTCACCCGTGAGGACTGGCCATGGGAGCCCCCGGCGCCTGATTACACCCAGAGAGAATGGCGGCAGGTGAGGAGAACGTATTGGAACATGACGGTCGCTGTGGATCCAAATCGGCTCCGGAAGAGCGTTTTGGAAGCCTTTGATCGCTATGGCCCCTGGGAGTTCTTCCATGATCCTATGGACAGAGCTGATGGCTCTTTGCGTCCGGTCCCCAGGATTATCAGGCCGACCTTTGTTTTCTAGTAAATAAAGGGTTCACAAAATTTAGACTACAGTTGCAACGAAACCGATGCCTGCACAGTCGAAGCAGTTTCTCAGTGTTCCTCGGCCCATTTTGTCTTTTGGAGCTCCATCCGCCCAAGTATCGTTTCACAGCCACGGCCTTCGATCCGAGGTACGGGCTTAGAAGAAGGAACGACTCTGGATGATTCAGTGATGGCCTCTTGGTACCTAGCGAGGATCTTATAAAACCTCGCAATCCTTCTAACACTCTAGCTAAAGAACTAAAAAGCTTCTCTCTCTTTTTTGAGAAAACGAATGGTGACTTACCAAGAACCCTAAATTCCCAACGAACTTTCTAGGGCACATTTGAAGTTTAGGGTTCTTGAGCTATGGCAGTGCTGCTAGGCAGCTTGTCGGCTCCTGGCATCCATCCTCTAGCCAGGAGATCACCACAGAGGAAGGGCTTCTCGGCGTCTAGGTTGTCAATCCGGTGCTGCGAATCTTCTCCTCCTCGCGACTACGTGCCAGTGGTGAAAATGTGTGGGATCACCACACCCGGGGATGCCAGTCGCGCGGCGGCGGCCGGGGCGAGCTACATTGGGATGATTCTCTGGCCGCGATCCAAGCGATCCGTGTCGATCTCCCTCGCGAGAGAGATCGCCGCCGCGGCCAGGGAGCAGGGCGCGGTGCCGGTGGGGGTTTTCGTGGACGAGGACGCGCACACGATCGCGGATTCGTGCCGGGAGGCCGGGCTAGATTGCGCGCAGGTAAGCCAGTGCTCCAGGGAATTGGGGAACTCTTCCAGGATGATGAGATTGGCACTGGCAGCTCCATGGAAGCGGTGCTAGAGCAGCGCTCGATGGCCTCGCATCGTCCTCGTCATCGCTACGAGTGATCTACGTAGCTCACGCCGACAAGGATGGATCCATCCAAACTCCACAGCCTGTGGCGGGGGCTCCCGTGGAGTGGACACTGATCGATAGCATTCAGGGTGGAAGGTATGCGATCTTTTCCTTGCGTGTTCTTCGGCTAGAACAAACTTTTTTTTCTCTGTGGGACTTGACAGTGGCGAGAGTTTCGATTGGGAATCCTTGAGTCGGCCAGGCTTGGGCTTTGTTGGGAAGAGAGGATGGTTCTTGGCTGGAGGATTGAAGCCCGAGAATGTGGGAAGGGCGATCTCGCTGCTGAGGCCGAGTGGAGTGGACGTTTCGAGTGGGATTGCTGGGCCGGATGGGATTGCCAAGGACTTGGATCGCATCGCCTCTTTCGTGAGCGCCGTCCACAACTGGAGGAGCCAGCGAGAAGAGAATGCTCTGCTATTATGAACAAGTTCCACTTCGCTTGGAGCATTTACCGCAAGAAGGCATTTTGTGTTTGGGAAGATTCCGTACTACACTTGGCTTGGAGTGAGACGATTGTCTTTGAGAGTTGTGAACGTCATTGGCGTTGTTTCTTCTTCAGCTAGCTTCGGCCGATTGTCTCGATGGATCGAGGTGGTGCTTGGAAAGATCACGCGTTTTCAGTTACCCTTTGGACTTGTGTAGAGTTGCAAGCGCCCAAAGGCACTTGCATTATTTGATCAGCACTATTTCTTGACGATCATGATCGCGTTTTTAGCTGTGTTTGTGACAATCCTCCTTGGAATGGACAATGGTGGAACGCAGCAGCCCATAAGCGAAACGGCCAGAAGTGCCGGCAGTAACACTTCTTCGCTTGGAGCACGAGAAGGCATCTTGTGTTTGGACTCGGAGTGAAAGAATCAACTCAGTCCCAGTCCCTTACGCTCGTGGCCTGATAATCCTGGGGAACTCACGGCAAGAGCCATCATATCTTGGCGCATCATTGTGGAAGTACTCCTCGGGCGGTAAGATAGTGAAGGCTCTCAAAACGCTCTCCTGGATTTGCTTTGAATCCACAGGGACCTTCATCTTCCAATACGGTCTCATCACCTGCCGGCATTATCTCTGGCTGTAAACAGGCGACGGGGCCTCGCAGGGCGCGTCCTCACGGGTGAGCGTGTACTCCATTTCCTTGAGATTACAAACTTCCAGGAGAAATTACGAACTTTAACTCACCTCAGGTCTGAATGGGTCGCGCTTGAGCTCTCCCGCAAAGACATGCTTTGGATCGGTAGGGGGAATGGAGTTGCAATCCTTTTTGCAGTGGCTGGGCAGTCCACACCTCCCGCACTCTCGCAAGTCCCGGCTCCAAGAGTCCCTCCCTGGTTTTGCTTCAAACACTTCTACCGGGTGGCACTCGTAGCCCGTGTCCGGCAAGGGCTATCTTATCAATGGCCTTGCGCATGCCTCTCTCGCTGCTAAAGGTGACGAGGCCATAGTCCATTGGGAAGTTCTTCTCGTCATACATGATCTAATTGAAAAAGAAGAGAATGTAAAAACAGAAAGTGCAATTTACCTTTGCGCTGGTGATATCTCCAAGCTGGATGAATCCTTCCAGGTCTCGTTGATCGGCATACCAGGGCAAGCTGCCCACAATGCAAGTGAAGCCGCCCATGAGTGCTCTATGAATTACAGCCTTCCGAAAAAATATCTATCCAATTGTGAGCTTTGTTACACTTCATACAATCAGCTGTTGAAAATTTACATTTTAACCAGCCAAAATAGCTTAAGCTTTTGTAATGATGCTATAACTCACCTGTCTGAATGGGGGTCAAAGGTATGCTTTGCATCAGTTGGCTGGGCAGTCCACACCTCTCGCCCGTCCCTCCCTAAACTAAACAAGAGGGTTGTTAATTGAATTTAAAGGACAAAGTTCAAGGGTTTTTTAATTATTACTTTGCTGATAAGACTGTTTATCATGGTAAAACAACATCATTGACGCAAATCTGGGAAACTTAGGAATCTCTTTGAATCAAAGCAAAGCAACAATAAAACAGCAAAGGGGACATACAAAACAATTGACGTGTGGAATAATCTTGGGCTCATGAGAGATCAAATTGGCCATCCTCTAGTGACCGGCAGATAATTTTCTAAAGAAAATACACGACTTTTCAAAACAAAGACATTGTTTTAAACATTTTTAAAGTGAAAAAAATTAGTTGTGGTTACTACTAGAGGTTTTATTTGCAAGAATTATTTTATTCACATCATCCCAAAAAATAATCACTCCATTCACAGTATACTCTCTCTACCTGAATCCTCCCTGCTGCTGCGATGGGTTATACATCCCCATCCCCATGCCATTCATCATGGGCGGCGCCATGGGCATCATGCTAGGATGCATTCCCATGGGCGGTGGAGGCACCATGCCCATGCCCATGCCCATGCCCATACCCATTTGTCCACCCATGATGGGTGGTGGCGGCGGAGGTGCCCTGTGCATTATACTAGCACCAGCCAGCCCGAGACCAGAGCCCGACCCCATTGCCTGGCCTTTCGTCGCTGGCACCGACGATGTTTTCTTTTCTTCTCTTCTGGAAGCCGAGACTTTGGATTCCGTCAAGTGGATCCCCAGCTCCGCGAGAGGATCGCTCTTTACTGCAAACAGTGAAACAAATGTGAGTTGGGGGGGGAAAAGAAGCAGAGATGTCATACGTACATGGTCCTATGTTGAGGTTCACGAGACCCGAGCTGAGAGTGTCGGCCCAGACCGCGGACTTTGGCTGGAAAGGTTCCTGCTGCTTCGGCTTGGCGTGCAGAGTTGTGTCTTGGACCGAACTTTGCTGTTGCTGCTGCTGCTGCTGTGGAGCAAAAGGTTGTGAATAAGTTGGAGTTTGCTGCTGCTGCTGAAGAAACGACTGCGGCTGCTGCTGCTGCGGGAAACCGGCCTGTGCAAAGTGCGGCGGACGGAAAGTTGGTGGCTGTGGCACGAAAGACTGGGCCTGCTGTTGGAAGGCCGGTTGTTGTTGCTGAGGGAATTGCTGCTGCTGGAAGGGAAACTGCTGCTGAGGAGGGAACTGTTGTTGCTGCTGTGGACGGAAAGGTGGCATTTGCTGCTGCGGAGGAAACTGTTCCTGGGGTGGAAGCTGCTGCGGAGGGAACTGCTGCTGCGATGGTAGCTGCTGTGGAGGAAACTGTTCCTGGGGTGGAAGCTGCTGCGGAGGGAACTGCTGCTGCGATGGTAGCTGCTGTGGAGGAAACTGTTGCTGCGGCTGCAACTGCTGCGGAGGAAACTGTTGCTGCGAAGGAAGCTGCTGCTGCAACTGCTGCGGAAGAAACTGTTGCTGCGATGGAAGCTGCTGCTGCAACTGCTGCGGAGGAAACTGTTGTTGTGCATGGAATTGTTGCTGAGGCAAGCTTTGCTCTTGCTGCTGCTGTGGAAGTTGCTGCGGCGGCGATTGACTGTTTTGCGCTTGGAAAGGATTGTCAGAAGACAATTGCGATGGCAACTCAGGCTGAGATTCCTGTTCGTACTGCGACTGTGGAACAAGGGCCAACGCTAGAGAGTCTTCAAATGAATTCGCTACACCATTGGTTGCGCCATCGGGAGCATTAGCGTGAAACTCTGGCGTACCGAAAGGATTCGAGGGGTCAAGATCCTAAACACCAAAGCACGTGATTATAACATGAACTGCGATTCGTCCCCATACTTACGGTGCTTGACGCGGAGGGAGCACTAGTGGGAGCAAATAGCTCCTCGACAGCACTTAGAAATGTCGGAGGTGCAGTTCCTGCCGATGTCAGTTTTGGCTCGTGACCAAAAAGATCTTGGTCCGATGAAGAACCTATACAAAGGTGATCAGTCTGGCAACAAAATAAAAAGAAGAAACACAAAGTTGAGCAGTACATACCGGGTATGGAGCCTCGTGGGTCAAATTCATCAACTGGAGAGCTTTCCGTCTTGGTTTCTTCTCGTAACTCTTCCTCTTTTTTAGCGTGGCTCTCTAAAGGAGCAACAGTATCGTTCCTGCTGACATACAACATATGCAAGTAAGCGCCGGTGCACGCATACATTAAGTACGTATATACCCCTTGCTTTGAGATCCATTTGCCGGACTAGAAACCTCTTCATAGCTCGGGGGATTCGACCTCCCTCTTGACTGCTTTCTCTCGGATTTCCTGAAATCGCGATTGAGAATAAGTAAGCATTATAACGACAACTGCATACATACCAGTCGTCGTCATCTTTGCTCCCACTACTTCTGCAAATTGCATAGTCAGAATGGGAAGAGTTATAAGCACTGAGGTTGCATACCTTGCATCCTCATAGCCACGGTCTCTATCAGTGCCATCATACTTGTCGGAATAAGGACGATCACTGTCTCGGCCATAGCGATCATCATCTCGGTATCTGTCTCCGTCTCTGTATCTGTCGTCATATCGATCCCCGTCCCTGTATCTATCTCCGGAATAGCGACCACCCCCATATCTATCATCGTCGTCACGGTCTGAATAAGTACCGCCAGTGCTCGAGTAAGAACTCGAGCGATAAATCCCTCCAACAGAAGATACGCCACGGTACCTGCATATGCAAGCATTGAGTGACAATCAACTGACGGGTGATCTACGTACTTGTCTCTGTTCGCAGCTGCTTTTTGACGAAATTCACGAATTTTTTCTTTGTCGTTTATAAGAGAAACTAATGCCTGGGCTTTCCTCCTTACAGTAAGTCCTTGGTCCCTACCACTAGAGTCCACATATTGAAAATCGACTAAAGTCTGCAAAACAACGCGGCTAAGAACTAGAAATAGTTGTGCTTGTTCTGCTACGAACCTGGATTTGGTAAGTGTGCTCCCGCAGTTCATCTATGAATCTTTCAGCGCCATGACCAACAAGAAACTCCATCACCGTCAGAGACTGTTACAAACACAACAAGAAGTTCAAAAAAACTTTGCTTGCATTGGAAAAAAAAGGGTTTAAAAACCTTACCTTCAAGACATGACGCCAGTTCCTGCCTCGGTCATTCAGACGCTTCCATAAAATAGTCATGATCATCTGATACTCGTTACTGCAAGAAGGGAAAGCACAAAAAGCGATCAAGCACTGTGAAAAGCAAAACAATCTTCGAGATTACAAATTCCGAGTCGCTTGGGCGATATCAGCCATGAGTGTTCCATGAGGACCCCAAGGCTCGTTGCAAGTCGCTTCTAAGACCTTCGAAAACAAAAATGTAGCGCTACATGTAAGATCTCGAGAGCCAAAACCAAAAGACCTTTACCTTTCTCTCGATTTCTGGAACTTTAAGCACCTTCTTGTTCACTTCTCTCTTCCTGCAATACCAAAAAAAATGTTGGGCATCACCAGGAATTCCCCCCACTGTTCGAAGAAAATCGAGCGAAAACTCACATATTCCGGACCGTCTTATCCAGCGCCTTCTTCAAATCCATTTTCGCTACACCCAACAGGCCCTCGGGAGCTCCGGATCTGGGATCTCCGCGCTAGGTCGCGATATTCAGCCGGATCTGAGGCAGCCGCAGCGAAATCTCTTCAGATGCCATCGCCGGAGGCGCCGTCAGCAATGCTTACCACATAAAAATCGCGAATTGACGCGCGCGAGCAACGCAAATCCGGAGGAAACGATGAGCCGCCTCTCGGAGGAGCATCAGCGCACGCGCACGAAAATGTAGAACAGGGAGATTCAGTAAAGAGAAACCCCTATCGTGGAGCACTTTTGGTCGTCCATTGGTTTAAAAGAACGGCGAGATGTGGCCCAACTTAGTATACTGCATAGCCCCAGGTGGCGCCCCCAGGGCCGTCGGATTGCCCGAGTCAACTTTTTAAAATTTAGGGTTAGGGCTCATGCGCTGTGGATGGGGACGTTGCAGCGTCGTGAGAGCGGCGCTCCACGGATCGATCGCATCGCCTCGATCGATCAGAAGCAGCAGCAGCAGCAGCAGCAGTGATCGGCGTCTCCGATTTTTCTTCGATGCTGAGAATGAGGTGCCAATCTTCTACGCGAACAGGATCGGTAGCTTCTGGTTCGAGCAAGATTTCCACGCGCTCTTCCGGAGAGCATACAGAGGGACTAGCGGCGATGGAGCAATGGATTACGCGAAGCTCGATCCGGCCGCCTGCATTGCGGCGATGGAGACGATCGGGCACACCCCGGCCAACAGGGAGATTGGGGTGTGCACGATTCCAAAGCTCTTCCACGAGAAGGGATGCTATCGAATTCGCCAGTGGACAGGGGAGCTGATGGGGCGAGAGTTTTTCTACCACGACGTCCTGCTGAGGCCGCTGGAGCTCCAGAGATTGCTACTCGAGGAAGAGCTCGCCAAGAACGGTGTTGTTCGTAGAGCAAGGTACTAGAGCGAGGAAAAAAAAGGTTTTCTTTTCTTCACGTCCGAGAGCTTCGCACAGATTCGCCAAGACAAAAGCGTGGATCGAGTCGGCCGCTGTGAAGCACGGGTTGGAAGTAGAGCTGATGAAGCAACAGGGATCCAACCTCGTCATCTTTCTGTCCCGGCAGGGATTGGAAAGGCGCAGCGCGATCGTCAAAGAGCTGGAAAAGGCTGGAGTTTGCGTCGAGGATGGGATCAAGCTCCAACTTTGGAGGCCCGAGGAGGATGCGCTCTACGCAGACACTCCACTTCCCTCGGAAAAAATGGCGGCCGAGAAGATGAGACGCATGAACGAGCGACTTGCGATGACGCATTGTCAACTTTGTCCAAGAACAGAGGTACTCTTACGTTCTTCTTCTTTTTTTTTCTTTTTGTTTTTCTGAAGCACGACTTTTTCCAGGGAGAACCTGTGGAATGGTACGAGGAATCGCCATCAAGGCCATTGTACGGGAGAGATTACGGATTCACCACGGACAAGCTGGTGATAGACATCGATACAAATCGATGGAGGAGGAACGAGAACGCCATACCCTGGGAGGAGAGACTGCTAGCCACGCCTGGAGGGAAATTCAGAGAGGTACTCACCATTGTCGACATTGATGGCACGCCAGCAGATTTAATGCTGCCGAAAAAGAGAGTTCGGGGTTGGGGTGCTGCCAAGTTTGACAGTGGCAGCGCCAGGAGAAAGTCGCCGTCCCGGAAAATCAAATTTTTTACAGACTTTCTCAAGAAGTAAAATAGATCGCACAAAAGGTTGGTTGAATTCACATGTATTTTCTCTTACCAGATTCTAGTTTTTTGCAGGATCTACCTCAGGAGTAAACTGTTCGTTGCAACGTCAAGCTGTTCATTCCTGTCGATGACGTTCGTATCCTCCAGATGTATTATCAGATGTATCTTCTCTTACCGGATTCTTTTTTTTTTTTTCCCAGGATCTACTGCAAGCTGTTCGTTGCTACTTCAGGCTGTTGAAGATGTTGCTCGAATTTCTGTCGATGACGTCTCTCCTGGTTCGTGTCCTCGATTCGAGAGTATCGTCCCGGCTCCCAAGAGCAAAGCCTGTCCACGATCGAGAAACTTAACTTCACCAGCGTTCCTCCTCAGTCCTCACAAGCACGACTAGGCAAATCGAGAAAGCCTGTGGAAACCAGACTTTCAGTCACTCTCGGCTTCTTCCAGAAGATCTCGTCCCAGATCACGGCAAGGTGATCTCGAGGACTGTGGATCTTGCACTCTCGCTGCTAGCGCCGATTCGGCAGAGAATTGCCATGCTTGTCCTTCCGTGCTGGTAAAGTCGGCATTGCTACAAGTCAGGCACAAAGTTCCATGGAGTTTTCTAGCGCTGGAAGTTTTCTAGTCCCGTTTCTAAGTCCGTTCTAAGCGTTCATTGTTACTCCAATTGAAAATCGCCCTTTTTAGGGCAACCATAGTATAGTCCTCTGTTTTAGGGTTTTTCTCTGGAAGCGCAGATCAAATGAGCTCCCAGGTACCGCCGTATGGAGCCCCGATCCGGCCGGGCGGATTCCCTCCACAGTATGGATCTATGCCGCTGCAAGCTCCCCCCGATGGATCCTTCATCCGGCCGCCACCGTATGGATCTGCGCCGCCACCGCCGCTGCCGGGATCTCAAGCCGCTGCTCCTCCTCCCGGAGCTGGAGCTACGCCAGTGCCACAGTATGGCGCGTCGAATCAGCCGGGCATGGTAGGTTTTCGGCCACAGTATGGCGGATCTCTGCGACCTCCGCCTCCATTCCAAGGTATGGCGCCGCCTTCTCGTCCATTCCAGGGCCCGGGAGTGGGATCAGGACAGGAAATTTCGAGCTTCCAGGCGAATTCAGGCATGCCGGCGCCATTCCAGAGCCAGTCGGCGTCGATCCAAGGGCCTCCCCAGTTCCAGGGCCCTCCTCCATCGTTCCAGAGCTCAATCCAGGGGCCTCCATCTTTCCAGAGCCACCCCTCCTCGATCCAGGGACAGCCGCCGCAGCCATTCCAGAGCCATCCTCAAGCTCCTCCACAGCCTCTACAGATGCAAGGGCCTCCACTCCAGCCTCCACAGTTTCTAAGCCGGCCGCCAGGGCCTGGTTACTCGCAAATGCCGCCTCCTCCTGGCCAGAATTGGAGACCCTCTGTGAGTATCGGGTTTTTTGGAGAAAGCTCTCTAATGCTTGTTTTCTCTGTTGCTAGATTGGAGATAATTTACAGCAGCCTGGCTCTCCCTCTACGACTCCTTCGCAACGCATTGATCCATCTCAAATTCCCCGCCCTCAGCCCAGCTTCGCTACGTCCGTTTATGATACAGTTTCTAGCGGTCCAATTCCTCCGGTAAGCCTGCGAAACTCTTGTGTTCCTCCTTTTATAACTTTTTCCTTCGATGCAGTCTTCGACGAGTGATTTTTACGTGAGAGATGCCGGAAACTGTAGCCCAAGGATTATGCGAAGCACTCTTTATCAGGTAAGGTGGTAAACACTGGTGTTTCTGGCGTTCTGATTGTGAGAAACTTAGGTTCCATGCACCGCGGATTTGCTAAACACCTCGAAAATGCCTCTGGCTCTGATAATTCAGCCACTCGCCCTCCCTCACGTGAATGAAGAGCCTATCAAGGTACTCAAGAGAAGCAAAGATTGTTGTTTTTGGTAGCTCAAATGCTTGGCAGGTTGTTGACTTTGGAGAAAGTGGGCCAGTTCGGTGCAATAGATGTAAAGCATACATTAATTCCTTTATGAAGTTTATCGACCAAGGACGCCGTTTTGTTTGCAATATTTGTGGTAAGATGTTTTCTATGCAAGCATGAAATCTAACGTGCTACATCAACAGGACACACAAACGAAACTCCGCGAGATTACGTTTGCAACCTCGGACCGGATGGACGAAGGAGAGACGCTGACGACAGGCCTGAACTCTCTCGTGGAACAGTCGAGTTCGTTGCAACCCAAGAGTATTTGGTACGTATTAGCAATATACAGACAGTCGTAAGAGTTAAAATAAATTTTGTAGCTTCGACCTCCAATGCCACCAGTGTTCTTCTTTCTGGTGGATGTCTCAGCTAATGCTATCAAGACGGGAGCGGCCGCCGCAGCTTGCAGTGCTATTCAGAGAGTTCTGGCGGATATTGCAGTAAGCTCGGTGCATAGTTTTTTGTGCTACTTGAATCATTCAAAATTTTGCTTTACGTTCAGGAAGGTCCTAGGACAATGGTTGGAGTTGCAACGTTTGATTCAACTATACACTTCTACAATTTGAGTAAAGACCTGCAACAGGTTTAGATAATGTTCTTTTTTTATTCAAATCCTTCCTAAGTCGATATCGACAGCCATCCATGCTCGTAGTGCCAGACATACAAGACGTATATGTTCCAGTTGAAAACGGACTTGTGGTTCCTGTCGCTGAGGTTTGTAGTTGACCTTTCTAGTTTCTGTATTCATCTTTGATGATTGAAGGGCCGCGAGCACATGGAAACTCTTTTGGAGAACATACCCAACATGTTTCATGACAACGTGGTTCAGGAATCAGCTCTTGGTGCAGCAATGAAGGTGCTTGGGCTTTAAGTTAGATACCTTGATACAAGGTGTTATTCTGTTGCAGGGGTCATTTCTGGCTTTGAAACCTACTGGGGGAAAGCTCTTAGTTTTCCAATCAGGTACTATGGACTAAAGCTTTTGTTTCGAACGTTCTTAAATGGGGTTTGCAGTTTTACCATCTATTGGCCTTGGAGCTTTAACCCCAAGGGAGGCGGAGGCGCGAGACAAATCTGCGGTATGGAGATTTACTTGTTTAGCATGTGACTCTATTGTTTTATTCTTAGGAAGCGCACAAGGTGTTACAACCTGCAGATAAAACTTTGAAAGCCATGGCAGAGGAGTTTTCTTCGTCCCAGGTACCAAGCAACTAGGTTTGTCCCTGCAACATGTAAGCTTTCGATCATGCAGGTTTGCGTGGACTTGTTTTTGACAACCCAAACATACGTCGATATAGCATCACTTTCAGTTGTGCCCATCACAACTGGAGGTCAAGTATGTTACTGTCAATCTCCTTACTTTTTGTCCGACTGACATCGTGTTCAGGCTTATTATTATTTTCCCTTCTCTGCTACCATGGATTCAGCTAAGTTGTATAATGATTTACGATGGAACTTAACCAGGCCTCAAGGACTTGAAGCCGTGATGCGTGTGCGATGTAGTCAGGTAAAAGATATGAACTGGTTAGAACCTGTCTGAATCTCTCTTGTAGGGAATCAAAGTCCAGGACTACTTTGGCAGCTGTAAACGGGTTACCACTGATGTCGATCTTCCTGCGGTAATTGATCTACATGGAACTAAGCTCCTGTAATGCAGTGTGTTTTTCTAGATTGATTGTGATAAATCCATTCTGGTCACGTTCAAGCACGAAGACAAATTCCAAGAAGGAGCGGACTGTTGTTTTCAGGTGCGCTTGCATTTACATAATGCTATTGCCTGTTCTGACTATTGCCAAACTTGTCAATGCTTTTGTAGTCGGCGTTACTCTACACCACGGTCGATGGGCATAGACGTATCAGAGTTAGTACACTATCACTTACTTGCACGAACGTTCTGAGCAACCTTTTCAAAGGCGCGGATCTAGATGCACAGTTCACTTATCTTTTGAAAACTGGTAAGTAATCTGTGTGATTTTCGTTCAAGGTTCTGAAATTGCCTTTGATACAGCTGCTCAAGGCGTGCCTGTCTCCCCTCTTTCGCAAGTTAGGGAGCAAACCATTGGACAGTGTGTTCAGAGCTTGTTTTCGTATAGAAAGTTTTGCGCAACTGCATCTTCTTCGGGCCAGCTTATCTTGCCCGAATGCCTTAAGCTGCTACCGCTATATACACTCGGTAAGTTTCGTGTCGTTTGTTTTTTTAACTTTTCACAATGTCGTTTCCTTCTTTACAGCTCTTACAAAGAGCGTGGGTCTCCGGCAAGATGTTCGTGTTGATGAAAGAGCTTACTGGCTTATGCGAGCTACAAGCATCTCGGCATCCCTCGCGATACCGTTGGTGTATCCCAGACTATTTTCCGTCCACAACATACCAAAGGTACTAGTTATCTCTTTGGTACTCTGATTAAAGCGCGTTTTGCATAGCTGGACGAGTCGAGTCTACCACCGACGCTTCCTCTATCAAGCGAGAACCTGGACCCAGAAGGAATCTTTCTTTTGGAGACCGGTGAGGACGCTTTTCTATACGCAGGGAAGGCTGTCTCCTCTGAGCTGCTTCATCAACTCTTTGAAGTGCGGTCTGTGAACGAAGTGATTCCCGGACAGGTACTTCATTCCCTCGCTCGTATGACTCGTAATTTTCTTACTCTTGTTCTCTTTTGCAGTTTTTGTTGCAAGAGTACGATAACGAGCCATCAATTTTGCTGAACAAGATGGTGAACGAGATCCGTCGCCAACGCTGCTCTTACCTGCGGTATGTTTCGATAAAAAAAGCTCTCACTAGTCTTTCTAACGCGGATGCTTGCTATTCTAGGTTGCATTTGCTGAAGCGGGGAGATCCTTTAGGTGATCAAACACTCTCATTTTTTTTCTTTTTCGAGGCACTCTTGCTCATTCGGTTTTGTTACAGAGATGATGTTCCACTCCTTCATGATCGAGGACAAGAGCGGGCTGGGCTCGTCTTATGTGGAGTTCCTTGTCTACGTGCACAGGCAAATCCAGGTAAAAATGCAGTCTGGGAGCTGAGCTTATTAAAAGCGGAAGAAATTCATTCAATAACATTCCCCATTAGTCATGAATCTAAAAGATTCTCAAGCATAGCATTTGCAAGAATTATGTTTTGGCAAACCCATTTTACTCCAGACGTTGTAAAACATTAATGTTTTTTACTACAATGAAAGCACAAATACCCAAAACGTCTGACTTCGCGCTTGACACGGTCGAAGATCTACATCCGTATCCGCGCGGCTTGACATTTTACTTTTCAACGTCGAAAAAGTCAGCAAGTTATCCGGAACTATAACACGCTCTCCTGCACTATAGATCCTCCCACTCCATACTCAAGCACATCAAAGCTCACACTCAAGCTCCTCCAAGTTTCTCTAGCTTTCTCCGATCTCGTTCACAAGTCTGGGATCACATCAAAGCAAGAGGCGTTCTTAAAAAAGATGGCGAGCAACAAGATGCTGCTGGCGATGCTTGTGGTGGTGCTCCTGGTGGGAGTTGACATTGGAGGAATTGCAAGTGCGAGCACCCAGGGGCGATGCAAGCCGGGGTGGCACTGGGATGGGAAGAAGTGCGTCTATTGCCAGCCAAACTGGTACTGGTACAACAATTCTTGCCACCGCTGCAAGATGGGCTCGCACTGGACTGGAAGTTCCTGCAAGAAGAACTGAAGTTGCCTATCAAGATCCAAGCTTATGTAATATGTCAACGACAATAAATATTGTGGTTGTGCTGTTTCTTGTGATAACCTTTT